AACAGCTGAGTGGCAAATCTTTAAAATCCACAGTTTCGATCTTACAGAAGCGTAATGCATTTGGCTCTTGGCATAAGTCTTTTGGAGCCATTTCACTGGTGTCGGTTACTTGAGTTGAATGGCATTAAGGGTGAATATATAACCTTTTTTATTGCTGCATATAGCAAAAAGGATGTGGGCTCCATTCCCAGACTTGGTGATGCCAATGCTTCCTGTAAAATCCATCTCTTTCTGTGTATTGTCATTGCTTTCGTTTTATTTATTTATTTATTAGAAAGAACATCTTTTGTGTTCATTCTTGGTGGGTTTGACATAAATTTGAGATCATTAAACCCTGGAGGCCACGTTAAAAGAGTAGATCTTTATCAGTTGAATGAAATTCCTAATTATTATTAACATAAAGCCACATAAAAAGTCTGTAATATCAACAGCTTTGAAAGTGTCTTTTGCAGCAGCTGCATACCCTGCTCCCATTTTTTTCACTTCCAAGCTGTTTAGTCACTGGTCTTTGTGGAAAGTCCCATCTTTACTTGCATTTTTTCCTTATCTTTTTGTTTTATAATGTGCCTAATTTCTTTTGTTTCAGGTCAGTGAAACTTTTTTATTGTATTTTTGACTGGCTTAGGTCAGAATATATTCAAATGGTAATATGTTTTTTTCTTTAGATTTTAGTGACTTGTTGTTTAGGAAAGCAGCAAACCAAAGGCTCTTATCTGTCCTGCCAGTTTAAATTAAGTCTTTTTTTCCTTTGCTTAAATACAATGAGTCTGGAGACTTTTATTAGATTTTGCATAGTGAATTTTTGGTGGTGTGACTGTAGTTAATGATGTGGTCCATCTTCATGTTAAAGAAAAGGAACATTACTGGAGTCAAAGTTCATTACTGGAACTTAAAACAAATTCCTATAGTTTTACGTTTTACAGTGGAACAAATTATTGGCCAAAAACATGCACTGCGTGAATGAGCATATAGAGGGCTTTCAAGCCTGCAGGAAACATAAAGCAGGAAATATTTACAAATTCACAAACAAGCTAACAAAGTTAAATCTACAGTTGTGTGAAACGAAGAAGGTTTTTAAGCACACCCTCAACTACTTCTGTTGGAATTAAGAGGGTCAGAAGGAGCCAGCTGCTAATGCACTTGATTCATTGGCCATTAGCAAGTGTGAGCACCTCTGTTTTGGCAGTTTGTAGGTCTGGAGCATTCAGGTGCATTAACATAATACCACAAGAGAGCACATTTACTCCGAGGTCAAACCGTGCAATGCTCAGAGAAACTGAAAAAAAAAAACCTTGAGCTACATCTTAGACTCTGCAGGCTTCAGTAACTCATTAAATATTAAAGTTCATGACAGTACAATTAGAAAAAAACAAATATGACTTGTTTGGAAAGGTTGCCATGAGCCCTTTCTAACCCCCCCCCCAAGAAAACAAACAAACAAACATGGAAGCACGGTTTAGGTTTCCAAAGTTGCATCTGAACAAACCACAAGACTTTTGGAACAAGGCAAGAACAAAGTGGAGATGTCTGGCCATAATGCACAGTGCCGTGTTTGGCAAAACCCGAAGCACAAAAATACCTCAGACCAGCTTTCAAGCACGGTGGTGGAGGGGCGATTTGGGCTTGTTTTATAGACACAGGATCTGGGGGCCTTGCAGTCATTTAGTCAGCCGTGAACTCCTCTGTACATGCAGATATCTGGAGTCAAATATGAGCTCCAACAGAAAGACTGAAACAGGAAGGAAAGGTGCTGCAATCACTCAGCCTGACTGAAGTGCTGTGGCGGGATCTCAAGAGAGCTGAGCATAAGAAACAGCCTGCAAACCTCAATAAACTGAAACAACACTGTAAAGAGGTTTGGGCCAAACCTCCCCAACAAATATGCAAGAGACTGATAAACTCACACAGAAAGCAAACACCTGAAATTACTGCTCCTAAAGGTAGCTCTACAAGCTGCTCAATCACTTGCACTTAGTTTTTCACAGAACTGACTGAAGAAAGAAAGCTTCCTTTTTCACACCACTGTAGATACTATTTTTTAAACCATTTTAAGCTGCTGGGAAGAGGAAAGAAGGTTGAACAAAATGAATGTGGTTCTATGTGGAAACCCTGTGAGCAAACTCCTAGATGCTTTATATTAACTAGATCCACAAGGTTTAAGTGCATTCAACCCATTTGAGCTAAAACCAAAAATGTGTCTGTGTTTTTTTTAATTTTCACTATATTAGTGATATTATATGATAGTGATATATATATTGCTAGAAGCCCTTTGTACCCCCCCTTCCCCCATTTTCCACTATACTAATATTAGTGATAGAAATGAAAAACAAAAACAAACAAACATCCTGGTGTTTTAGTTTAGGAGGGCATTGTTTTGAGTAGGTTTCTCCTGGCAGTGTCCAGGTGGAGGTGGTGCTGCCTGGCAGATGCTGGCCGTGCACTTACGTTACTTCCTGCCGCTGTGTGTGTGTGTGTGTGCTGGCAGTGGCAGAGGTGAGGTGCTGCTGCTGCGCATTCAGCTCTCAGTCATCTGCTGTTCTCTGGTGGAAAAAAGCGGCCGACGGATTATCCAGCTCCCCTAACAGTGTTAGCTATTCGGCTAACAGACAAGCCAGCAACCGAGAGGAGCCATGAAAAGCCGCCGGAGCCGGTGAAAGTTAGCCACGGGTTACTTTGGGACTTTAATGCACGCAAAGATACCAAAAAGGAGGTTCGCGGGTCATGCCGTCGCCCCCAGCGGGAACTTTTGCCTAGAATTTCCACTTGGGAAGGGCTAGCTCGGGGGGCTAGCTCGGCTACGAACTATTTTTAATTGGCTTTGGGCTCAATGGCTCTCGCTTGTTTTTCCCTGTCATAGCGACAGCTTGGAAAATTGGGAGAGGCCCCCTTGTGAAGTTCATGACAAACCAAAGGCCGGTTTTGAAGCTTAACTGTGGACGACTAAACTGGCAAGGGAGCGAAAATGAAGAAGCAGTTCAATCGGATGAAACAGCTCGCCAATCAAACAGTCGGCAGGCAAGTATTGTGTTCAGCTCCGAAGCTTTACAGGCGAACTAGCAGACACACTTTTCTTCTTGCTGTTCTGAGCAGCTTTCTAAAGCTTGTTGGACCGGAATTTAACTCTTAACCTTATTGTAAATTAACACCAACTTGTTTGGTAGCAGTTCTGACTGTGAAATTCAAAGAAAGAGAGTCACATGAACTGATATTAATTTAAAAAAAAACCTAATAAAAGGAAAGGCTACACTGGCAAGTAGAGCAGGTTTCATGAATGAATCGTTTGACAACCAGACTGAAGGATGAAAAACTCTTAAGGCTGAACTGATTTAGCAGTTTTTCAAATGTTTTTTTTTTTGGTAAGTGCTTATGTAGAAGAGGGTGAAGATTTCAAACCTGGCCATTTATTATTAGAGCATTAAAAAACAGTTATAAAAGATACTGGGTTTCCTACCATATTGGCTGTTAGAGTCATATAAAATGATAAGAGTCTGTGTCTGATATCTCATGAACACTATACTGATATGTCTGTGACAAAGGGGTTAAACCTTTGCTGTCTAGTCCATGTCTTTTCCTGCTTGCCCCCGTACAGCTGAGTGTAGGCATCAAATTCAAGCGCTGTGCTGACTCTAAAGCCTATGAGACCGTGGCAGTGGCTTTATGTGCCGCCTCCACTTTTATTTTTGGGTTGTTTTACAGTTAAAAATAGCCCTCTTTTATTCTTGACGGAGCCCTTCACTCAATAATGGGTCTGAAAATCAGTGTTTTAGCTCATCTCTCTTTAACACAACGCTCTTCTGGTTGATTGGCTGACCCTTGCAAACAGAAAGTTTGAGCAGCTGCTTCAGCGCTGGCATCCAGAGCTGTGTGGCTGAGATCACTCCAGAAGTGATATCCTCAATTATTAAAACTGTCTGAAATGGAGCTTTAAAGCAGTCCAAAGCCTGAGATATGGTTTAATATTCACATCCGTCATTGTAATAATATATAAAGGAAAGAAAATAGAGAAGAGCATAGAAAATCTCCTTTCGTCATTCCTTTGAATTTGAGGCGTGCGGCAGTGTTGAGGCTAGATCCATTCTTAGAAAAAATAAGTAAGGGTTTATTTTGTCGTGTGTGGACCTGTCGGCAAGTGCTTTTATGTTTCTGTGTGATGACACATGCTGCCCCTGTGTAACTGGATATCTAAAGCTGGCGCTAAGCTCAGCCTTGTGAAAACATGAGGGTGAGACATGTCAAAGGATCTTTTCACCCTCAGAGGTTTTTCTCATGATGTCAGGTGTTATGGGTATGCACCTTAGGCAGATATTGGGCACAGCCAACAGTGGATGGTACCAGATAAAAGACCCTAATAGGTGGGTTCAAGGATTTTTTATTTTATTTTTTTACAATGGTTAACAGTGGTTTAAAAATAGAATATATAAGTTGCAAAATCCAAACTCAAAGCGATTTAATTTGTTTTATTTCTATTGTACTGTTTTATATGATTTATGTATCAGTCAGGCAGTGCAGATATAGGATGACAGATGTGTGTTATACACTTTGCCTAATTTAGAAATAATTTGTGTAGTTTGGACTTGTAACATTTATAAGTAATAAACCGACCAACTAATCAGCGGTAAATGAAAATGCACATGAGCAGACAGGGCTGGCAGAAAATAAGTTGTTGGCAGCTTTGTTAAGTTGCGGTTATTAGTGTGTTGATGCGCATTCTGTGTTTACTTTAGCAACAGCAGCACTGACATGGAGGTCTATGGAGATATTCTGCTCCTAAAGCCAAAAACTCAGGACCAGGAGAAGCAGGACAGCTGGAATACTCATAATTCCCTGTCTGCACTCAGCAGCAGTAAATTAGAAGTGGAGAGAGTGTAATGCAGAAAACAGACACGTGTGTGCATGCATGCAGTAGTTACTTGCTCTTATGTATGCACAAGTAGGGTTAATCCCTCATACACTCATATGCACGGCCTTCTGAGTGAGTGGTCTGTCAGCGGTTGGATTTGGAGCAAAGCGAGCATGCTCTGTTTCGTCCATTATGTTTGTGGCTGCTTGAGTCTGCAAAAAGCCTGGGAGTGCAAAAGGCCGTCTCGGCCGGCCCCCCTGGGTTCCTGTGATTGTGCGAAGGCAGAACACTGTGTCCAGCGAGCAGCCGCTCTGAGGAAATCTCTCCTTCTACAAACAGGAAGCTGCGTCCCAGAGCCACGCTTTCTAAAGAAGAAGGAGAGAGAGTTTCGGGAGAACTGATGTTGAATCAAGACAGTGAAACAGAAAGATAGCGGCATGTGATTCATGTTGGGGATTTTATTTTCTCTTCTCCTTTTAGATTACTGTGGCTTGCTGTCAATGAACTTTCTGACCCTTTGTCTATCTTTGTTTACGGCAGGTAATGTGCTCAGATAGTGACACCTTTGGAGGAGATAACTTGGCAATAGGAAGTTATAGACTATGACTGCTGTCTGCATTAAAATGAATGCTCACAGACCTTGAATGCGGTGAGAATTTTACTCCATATAACTTTCAGTTATTGGGGACTTCATATGCTTTTCCTATTTTTTTTGCCATACAGTTGATGATCTGCATATTAAACATCAACAAAGCCTCCGGTGAGTTAAAAGTTACAGCTTCAGGCTGCTCTAAACACTTTGTTTCAGATAGTTTTTCTACTTGTGAGAGAGCGTATATCCTTAATATCTTAGGCACGCATCAAACCCACAAACCTGCCATTCAAAGTTGATGAAAGCATAGCTTAAGATAAGAATTATTTTGAATCGGAGATCTACTCTTGTTAGAGAATAAAGCATAAGGAGCTGGAAATGCACGTCACATGTCTTATCTGTGTTTCATGTCAGTAACTAGAGTGACAGTAACACTTTGGCAATAATGGGTGGTGCTGAAGTGTGAGACAAGCACATGTATGTGTGGGAACTCAGACATAGATGAACCAGAAAAACATCTCAAATGTTTAGAGTTTTTCAAGTTAAGCATGTTGGCACACCCCACTGCCTACCACCTCAACTAAATTTAGATGTGTTTGACATAATCTGGGTTGCAGAGGTAGATTGCCACAGTCACTTGCATCTCTTTTAATTATAGCTGCTTTGTTGTGTGCCTCTATTCTCCCAAGCGTGCGGTCAGCACATTGACAAATACTTTTAAATATCATCCTCTCAGCTTGCACTGTTTTCATCAACGCTTTTATCCTCCTCCCCCATTGTTAATAATTGACTGGCTTTATAAACAACAATATTATATAATCCTCTTTTGATGGTATATCTAACAACATAGCTGAGTGTTATGCAATTTAATCATGCATTGTATTTGAAAGTCCTTGATCGACTTGAAGAGAGGCTCAAGTTGAAAAGAAACTCTCCCTACAGGAATCAACAAAATGTCACCGTAGAGCTAACAAAGATAGGTGACTCTGGGCGTTCCCCCTCCACATTAACAATGGCATGTATCAGCTGGGATGCCTCTGTGGCACTGGTAAGCCATACGTGCAAGGTTAGGCTGCTGTTTCCAAGTGTTGCTTAAAACCAAGCGCTACATCTCAAAGACTTAGAATGACAGTGTACTAACAAGATCATTACCATGTGTCTCAATAATGGTTCCATCATAAAAAAAGTTCAAATAACTTAGAAAACTGCCTGTCACCAGGGGAAAAAACTGGTGGTTGTCAAGTGATTGCACTGAATATTTTTTGCATTTGGTGATTGACTAAAAGTATAGTTGCTTGCTTGGTTGAGTGTGGAGTCAATTCAATTCATACGTTGCCAAATCACAACAGCACTCACATCAAGGCACTTTATATTGAAAAATAGAGACCATACAACTTTACAGTGAATCCCAACAATCAGACGTCCCTCTTTCAGCAAGCACTTGGCGACAGTGGTAAGGAAAACTCCCTGTTAACAGGATGAAACCTTTAGCAGAACCAGGCTTAGGGAGGATGCAGCCATGTGCCGTGACCAGTTGGGGGTGAGGGGAGGAAGAGAGGACAAAATAAAAAGCACACTTTAGAGAGAGCCAGAGCCTAGTAATAACTAATGATTGAATGCAGAGTGGTGTATAAACGCATAATGAGTAAACAACCCAGCGTCCAATTTATCACAAGGTCGTCTGGTCGGAGGTCACCTGTCTCCACCCAGCTACAGTCTGACTCACACTGATTGCTAATTTGCCGACGCGTTGCAGTCAATCTGAGCCAGTCTGCGCTGAAGAGCACATCTCGTGTGCACACGTGCTTTGTAGCAGGTGACTCCATCTTATAGCAGTTTAATCGCCGCCTTGATGCACCACAGTCACTTTGAAGATGGCAGCTAATTATGAGTGGTTGCTGCAATTTCAAAGCAACCATTTCAAAGCCAATGAGATGGCACTTCATTGCACACAGCCACAGTAATTACTCTAATAGTAAACATGGAGCTTATTTAAGTTTCAGTTTGACAAAATCATTTTTAAAACTCATTTTCTGCAACTTTCTGTCATATTTGAGACTTTTGAATCAAGAAAATAATTGTTGTTTGCATCCCTTTTATGGTTTTGCACACTGGACTGTAGTTTAATTACCTAGTTATTATTAGAACATTTGGATATGAATATTGGTGGTTTTCTTTATCTTGATCTGTCTCTATACATCTTTGCTGTTCATCCCCATCTTATGCTTCAGGTTAATTTATTGGCTTACGTAATCAGCCACATTAGATGCGCCGTATGAGCTGAGTCACTCCATTATACCTCCAGCTCCTTTCATCTAGGCCCAGTATCCATTACCGTATGCCTTAAGCTGCCAACTGTTGCTGCTGTAAGTGCAGACCCTTTTTGGCTCCTGAGTTTAGTGACTGTGTTGAGTGGCCGGTAACAGCCGCTGTATTGTGTTCACGGCTTTACTTAATCGCTTTCTGCGTTCATCGTAGATCACCATGGTTACCATTCTGAACAAGCAGCATCCACGGCCGTGCAGCGAGGCGCTCTTGTTGTTAAGAAGTCACATGCAGCGCACAGTTGACACACTTTTCTCCAGAAGCTGCTGCTTCAGTGAGGCACGTCGGGGTCAGCTCTATTCACTGTCAGTCAGCTGATGCTGGCAAAACAATTATTGTTTTGTTTGTTGTTTGTCCTCTGATCTGGCTGCACACAGCCTATTTTTGACTGTGTGACACTGCATTTAAAGGTTTAAAGTGTTGCTTTCAGGTGAAATACCAGCGTCTCCACGATTGGGCACGTCATAAACACACCTCACCAGGTTCCTTTGTTCACATCAGCATCAGGAAGCTTAGCTCAGGGATACCAGTCAACTTCTTGTGTTTCTCTTGGCTTGTAAATGGTTTAGTCTGGTTTCGATTCAGCTCATAAATCACACATGTCATTAATTGGGCCAGTTGCAAAATGGATTTAAATGGCATGAATATGGCAGTGAGTTTTTTAAGTGCCTTTCCCACAGTTTTTGTTGAGGTACCCTAGAAGTGTAGCTACTTCTTATTTTTTATTATTAATATGATCCTTTCTGTTAGCAATCAGAAATTGCTATATTGCATATTCTTTCAACCAGCTACATTTAGGCCAGCAACTGGAAATTGCTGATGCAATCGCAGGGCTGTGAGTGCAACACCTCAACCTTTGCATTCATTCAGGTTTTGCAACAGAAAAACAATAAAATGATATATTTAGGGGTTTTTTTTGTTTCAAAACAGGCAAGGGACCTAAACCAAGGATGTCTTGCAGCATCTACATGAACAATTGAACAAACTGGTTGGATAGTATGCCCTGTTTAATGATCTGTGAAACGGTAACGGTAGCGCCACTTGGCCAGCTTAGGCCTCAATCACACAGGCCTGTATTTTCCAACTGGTTGGCAAGTGTTTTCTGGAGGTTGCTGTCAGTCACTGGTTGGAATCAGACACAAAGAGGGTACTGCTCTCAAAACCTCCTTATGATTTCTTTGGTTGCTAACATATTTAATCTAAAATTAAATTAATTAAAATGATTCTAGACATAACCAAGTGGCACAAGGGTGTGATCTGTAGTGTTGCAATGAAGGGAAAAGTACTTGATTTTTAAGATCAGGACCACACCAAGAGCGCTCCAGCATGTACACTAGACCAAAACATGGATTGCATATTGTGGTTTTGTAATCACTTTTTGCATGTGTGCACATTACTGTGTGTGTGTGTGTGTGTGTGTGTGTG